TTTTTTTTCTGCAGCTTTAATAACAATATTTGGATAGTAGACAAGTGTAGTAGGACTGGACTAATTTCAGCTGTGGGATCTTTGGCTAAGCTGAAGGTATTTTGTTCCTGTACTGCATATCACGTTGTCTTAATTTTAGTCAGAAGTTCTCCATGTTAGAAAGTAAAGATATTGCTATTTTTATTCCTATGAAATCTTTGATCCCTGGCAAACAGTGAAGCTGATTTAAGAGAATGTCCTAGAAAAATCTCACCTTGCCCTTGATGAGAGTGTTACTCTAGATTGTAGTGGCACCCCATTGCTGCCAAAAATGCTGAGGCAGAAATAGCTGGGATGAGGTGCAGGGGACAAAGTACAGAAGGTCTGGTGTACTAAAAAGATCAGTATAGGCCCTTACTTTGCAACAAAAATAAATCAGTTCTTCTGTATTTGAGGAATGAGGGAATGGAAGGCTGGGAGACGTGTACTGCTGCGGGTGTTGGAGGTTGCTGTACACTCAGAAAGCTAAACCAGCTATGATGGCTGTGCTTTGGAAGTAAGGGGTGAAGAAGCAATTTGAGGTGCAGAACCCTAGAGATGCCAGGGTTGCCAGAAAGTTCAAGAGGTGCCTCCGCTGTCGTGGGAGAGCTCCTGGGTGGTAGGTGTGAAACAGAAGTAGTGTGTAGCACTTCTACATTTGTAAAGAGTGTTTTGTCATTTGTAATGTGTTAACTTATGTGAACAGGATTTGTTAGTTGTTCTACCTGAACTTACCTTGATCCATGTTGCTTCTGAAAAAGTATCTGTGCCAGTTTGATTTCCGCTTCTAGCTAGTACCAGTTCGTCTCACGTGGTCCTACTGCTTCTGTAAATCTTTTTTGTGCAGTTTCTTGATGTTTGAGGAGTTAGTTCAGATAAAACTGCAATGTGCTCTGACCTCAAGATACTGCTAGCTTAAATAACAGATTTGTTGATAAGAAATCTGCTGTTCATCTCTTTAAATGTTAATCTTTTCTAGTTAAACGTGGACAAGTTTTTCCCATTCCCCTCTCTCATATCTCTTGACCAACTGCAAATGAAAAGTTCTTGATAAGTTGTCAGGGCGGTGTGAACATGTTTGTGTATCAACACACTTCAGTTCAGCGTGAAGGTGATTTCAGCTGGCGATCATGCCATGGCACAGCTTCCAGTTCCTTTGATATTCAAAGATTTTTTTTTTTTTTTTATTTAAAGTTTTTCTCTCTGTGTGAATCCCTCCATGGAAACACTACACCTGCAGCTGAAATGGTTCTCCAAAGAGATGCCGGTGTCCACCTGCTAATGCTTTGAAGCACATCCTTTGGTGGAAAAGGCAAAAACCACTTAAAAAATTCAGCTCAACTGAATTTCATGGGTAGGAGTTAGACTAGCTTTCCAGATGAGAGATTGCTTATTGGTGATACAGAGTCAGTTCCAGATAAGGACACTGCAAAGAGTTGCACTTAATACTGGGGCAGGAGGAATCTGTTTAATTCTAGTACAACTTCCCTGTCCTCTCTATCAAGAGGAAGCTTGTACTCTGTCAGAAGTGGCTTTTTAATGATAAGCTTGGCCAAGGTAAGTCCAGTGAAGTGTGTTAGGGAAGGCTGCTTTCTGGTTGTCGTGAACTGTAGCTTCTGGAAACTAATGCTAGCAATAGTGCTTCTACCTTTTTGTCTAAAACTGCTGATCCATCCTGGTTTGTTTCTGGGATGGATCTCCAGAGAGATTCTATCTGGGAAGTGAATGGATGTGAAGACCGCGGGGAGGAGGGCGAAGCTGGAACACGGTGTAATGCAGGATTTCAAAGAGCACCCATCTCCTCCTGCTTTGAAAAGAAGGGGTGGCTGGCTGAGAGGCTGTTTGTTTTTTTCCTGTGTATGTTGCAGCAGATATTTCTCTTCACCTCCAATGTTTTTTTTAAAATTTACTCCCTTCATCTACTCCCCTTTCTTTTCCCTGCACGGTGGCTGTCTTTGATATCTTGCCATTGGAAATGTTCTGCTTTCACGTATAGAAGACAGCTTGTAGTTGTGCTGTTGTATCTCTGTAGTATATAAATTGAGGACTTTAATCTGTCCACCTGGAGCAGGTCACTAGTGATAAACTTTCATTTGAAAAAGTGGATTCAGATGAATCATCCTTTTAATGCAAATCTAGAACTAACACTTTGGAAGCAGTGCTGTGTACTGTGAACACAGGAGTAAAGACCAGCACCAACACGCACTCACCTTATAATGCCCGAGCAGATGGACTTTCAAAAAACAGATTTTCCTCAATTTGGGTGTTTAAGGTGGTTTGAATACGTAAAAGAGTAGTATGGATTGAAAACAAGTTTTGTTGCTTGAGGATCTTGCTATCTAGAGCTTTCTGTTTATGCTCTTTGGTCACTTATTGTTGTACTGCTTTTATTTTCCACAACTGTTTCTCTATTTGCTTTCTTTCTTTCTGTGAACACTTTGGGGGGGGGGGGGGGGGGCGTGTGTCGGAAAATACGCTGCGTTTGTGAATATCGTTACTGAGGTTTTTGCTGAGTTGTATTTTGCCTACTGACATTATACATCCTATGTTAAAGATCATTTTTAATGTTTGTGTGTGCTGCACTACAGCTAATTCTTCCCTACTTTTTTTTCTTCTTTTTTTTTTTTTTTTCTTTCCAGGGGATCTACAAGTATCTTGAGACGTGTTTTTCAGACTTTAAGCAGAGAGGCTTTGTTGTTGGATATGACACACGAGGTCAGGTGACCAGCAACTGCAGCAGTAAGAAGTATGAGTATTGATTGCATTTGCAAGACTAGAAATTAAATTGTGGCTTTAAATGCATTCTGTTCTATCAGAATATTTTTGTCATGAACTGCGCATACTCTT